TTTTTAGAATTTGTATGAACACCTTTTAACTGTAAGAGTATTTGAGGACCTTCCTGAGTATGCTTTAATGCGGTTGAGGGTCCACAAAGGAAGAGAAAAATGGGAAAATGGAACCAATTTTGTGTTGTGAAATTTCAAATAAAAAAACTGTCAAAATGAAAATGGGAGAGTTCTTGAAAAGAGCCCCAAGAATTTCTGGTGGGAATGAGAACTTTAAAATAATAGGATACAATCATGCCAGATCTGAACTTTGAGTAAAAAGTAAAATTCATTTGGGGGGCATGGGGGGGAATATCAAAACAGTCAATTCCAGTGCCTGGTAGGTTTCTGTGCACAGAACAGAACAACTCCATAAATGAGTGAGAAGGGAAGCTGTGGTTAAAAAAATGAGGAGGACAGAGCTGTGTCTCAATAAATTGTTCACCAACTTGAAAAAAAAATATCAAGAGGAACTGTATTAAGGTCAGGCTGATAGTATGCAGTGTTTGGGGTCCAGAAAAAGTGTTAACAATGGACCTGGCCAACAGTAAAGCTTATATTTCTAGACAACACAGTCTCTCAGTTTGAGAACTGACCTTCTCTCCCGATTAATAATAGATTGTGGTGAGTCTACAGATCCATAAATAAGTGTTGAAGGCTACGAGCTTTGCCATTTTCACATACATTGGCTTTCCATCATTTTATAGTTAGGTAAAGAATTTTTCACTCCCAGCTACATATTATGATATGAATTATTGGGGCTGATAATCTTATAGAATGCATTGGTCATATTTTGTATGGCTAGCTTCTTGGTAGAAGGAGGTTTCTGCAGAATGAATGGGTAAAGTAAAAATATGAATATGCATTTTGAATGCTTATAATTTGTCACCTATTTTAAACTGGTCCTGTTGGAAATGCCATAGTTTAAAAAAAAATCATTTTTAAAGAATTTCTTATTTATTTTCTGAATCCACACTTTCTTATTTGCCTTTGCTTAAAGACACATTTTGGATTGCTGTATAGGCACATGCTTTGTTCTTTAGATGTTCCCAGAGAAGTATTGGGGGCTCTTTGTTTGATAGCAAACCTTTTCTTTTAATAACTTATAAAAACACAGAATATTTGTTTCATAGTTATATACTGTAAGTTTTAAAAGCCACCTCATTATGAAAGTAAGACATTAAAGAATTTGCCTATAATCTCAGAACTAAATTTTGTGAAGATTTACCGTGCTCTTTCCTGGTCTTGATCATTGATACTTCTACACACACACACACACACACACTCTCTCTCTCTCTCTCTCTCTCTCTCTCTCTTTCTCTCAAGATAGTGATGGAAACATTTTGGAAACATTTCATGGCCATATAAAAAATATACATGAAGCCTCCTTTGTGAGGTTCTTCATTCCCTCTCCTCCACATTATTTAAAAAAGCCACAGTGCATCTAATTTTTCATCTGAAGTCACCTTTTCTCTTAGATTCCTAACTGGAATTTCTGGATATAAGGAGAGAAGTTGATTTCCCACTGACCTCCTAGCAGTGACTGACTTTAATACCCTTTGCGACAAGTTACTTTCTACCGTGGAAGAGAACAAAGTGCCCTTGAATCCTTTTCTGCCTCGTGGTTCCAGAGCTGAGCCGTCTCCATGGGATTTTCTTTGGTGACTGAGTTTTTTTTTCAGAAGTACATGACCAACTCTGTCTCCTCAGGGCTCTCTGGGGGTCTTGAACCTGCAACCTTTTAGCTGGCCGCCAAATGCATGAGCCATTTGCACCACTCAGTGATTCCTTCAAACCTGGGCAATCTGGTAATGCTCTAGGTGTGATTCGATTTGTGTTCTTTTTAAAGGTTTGCTTCTGCAGCATTTAGGCAAATCACAGGATGTTTCATACTGAGGACACATGGGCATCTGTCTCAAGCAAAGCTCCTCACAACCTGCAGTAGAACTCTAATTAACTTCTGGGTTTATTTCCTTTCCTTTCATGTGGCACAAGAATGAGGTTTTATTGGCTTGTATAAACCAGAGCAGAAAAGTTAATAGAAATAATAAAAGCTGTCAAATTCTGTTTAGCGCTGTTAGGCTTTTCTACTCAGATTCTTTGAAAATCATGCATTTAGGAAGTTGATGTGCTGTTTCATGCATCCACAGAATATTAATTTCAGTATTTTAAAAATCCAGCCTGTTTGCCATTTAGATAGAACCCAAGGGCTTATCTTGATGTTTCTAATTTTCTTTCTTGTAGGCTCTGAATTGCTCTTCCACACACATTCATATACGTACATGAACATACATATATGTACATATATACACACACATACATATATGCACACACACATGCATGTTCTGAATTTTTCCAGGCTAAAATTGGGGGAGATAATTGAAGTCTAAATTCCAACCCAGGTATTTTCCACATGTGATTGCTTTTCTATTCATAGCTCATAGATTTAAGGGCTCTCTTAATCGAGGCCCCTTAAATTGTACATCTGCTTTTAAGTACTGTTAGAGTGGCTACTCAGAAGGTCAGTGTAACTTTCCCAAGTCGTGCAAGTAGATTATGACTTCCCTGGAAGGTGTACAAAGAAGGGGCCGCCTTTAAGATTCTGGTATAATTGTAACGTCATGATGCCATTTCTTCAATTCTTGGAAAGATGGACGATCGGAGAAAGAGAGGAAGACCCCCAATGAGATGGATTGATGCAGTGACTGACACAGTGGCCTTGAGGGTGTCAGAGGATGAGGATGGTACAGGACAGGGCAAGGGTCACATTGTTCGTAAAGTCACAGTGGGTCATAGCTAACACCTATGGTGGAACCTAACAGCAGCAACAACAAAAATATTTATCACAGCAGCGCTTCTAGGGGTTAACAGAGAAAGAAGCAGTCAATGGAGCCATGCAAATCCTGCAAAGAATGAGAGGCTCAATATAGGAGAACTGAGCAGTGGACCGAAAGCTGGCTTTTATGTAACTGTAATTAGTACAGGCATGACTCATTTTAAACACTTCAGCTGTGAAGATTGGATTGAAAACGTTAAGCGAGTGATTATTCACATGAGGAAATGTGAAAATGGCAGTGTGGTGGAGGCATCTGGCCCCCTCTCTTTGCAAAGGGGCGTGGAGAGATAAGATTAGGAGCCCAGGGCAGATTCCCATGATGCGAAGGTCACATGTAACCTCCTCACCGATTTTGACACCAGCTGTGCCTCCCAGGGCACTCTCTCCGCTTCTCTGCTGGTTCCATTGTATTGGCCACAGGGAACTCAGGGACCATCATGTGATGATGGAGTGTATTAGGGAAGTAGTTAAATGATGATTCAGAAGCAGGAAAATCTCAGGTTATAAGTCTTTGGTCAGGACAGCATCTTCTCAGCCTTGACAGAGTCAGCCTCTGCCCCATTTGAGTACGTGTTACAAATTCTTTAGGTCCACTGATAATGTCCACAGGCACCCTGTTCTGCCAGTGCGCCCCCTGCCTGAATCAGGAAGCCCACCCTGCTGTCTACTCCTGGTCTTCTGGTTCCCCTGTCTCTGGCCATCTCTTGTCTGTCTAATCATCTCCCATATTACAGCTCTCTCTCATCCGCCTCCTGGCTCTAGGGACTCGTGAGTCCAGAGAACATGCCCCACCCCTGGCTCTTTCTCCTTAAAGCTCATGTGTTGGGATGGCTCGATTAAAGCCTAGTGAGGTGGCAGGGTCAACCCACCTCCATGGTTAAGATTCTGTGCACCCTGTTTTCATCGCCCTGCCCCCACAAAAGTGCCATGTGCATTTTCAGGAGGGGCCAGTCCTTGGAGAAGGTCATCATGCTTGGGGAGGTGGAGTGGGTCAGCATGAGGGAGGCAGACTCGCAATCAGATGGATTGACACGGTAACTGTAACCACTGTGCGAAGCATTGGAGTTGATGAGGATCAGTGTTCAGACGGTCGCTGTGAGTCGTACTCAACTTGACCGCACATGACAACAAATGTATTCCAAACACTGGGGGTTTGAGTCTACCCAGGGGTGCTTCCGAAGAAGTTTCTAATGATCTACTTCTGAAAAATCAGCCATTGAAAGTCCTCTGGAGCTCGCATGTGTCCTGACACACATGGCAGGGGACTCCAGGCCGGACGAGGGTGTGTTTATCACTCCGTCTGAAGCTCTTGTTTTGAAAGCCCTGGGATGCCATACGCAGAGGAGAAGGAAGTGAACTCAGTGTCTTGCCTGTATCTTGGAGAAATGAGAAGACAAACTGTGCGTTCGAGACACAAGGAGCTCTCGTGAGATGCTGCCCCTCGGTCCCAGGAAGAATGTTCCTGTTAGGACATTCTCCTCCAAGGTCTGTCCTTCCACACGTTTCTGCTCTGTCCAGGAGGCTGTGCCCCACTGGAATCCCACCTGTACAATTACAGCTTCTTGTTTCAGAAAATAGAATGTGCTTTGTAGAAACTTTAGGAAATTTATTTATTTTTTTAAAGAACGTTTAAATTTCCTGAATCCTACCACCCGGTACCAACTGCTTTTGACATCGTGATATATATTAATCAAGAAAATACTTTCAAGCTGAAGTGAAGTCATAATATATTTTGTCACCTACTAGTTTATCCTGATTGTCCCATGGTTTATGTAGAGATAAAGTACATCACCACTTTCATTTGGTGCATGAAAGTCTATATACTTACATGTATTAGGATTTATGTAAGGCCCATAAACAGTGTAGTATGCTTCACCTTGCACTGTTAACCAAAGGTCAGAGGTTCTAATCCACCAGCCGTCCCAGGGGAGAAAAATGGCTTGTCTCCTCACATAAAAATTTACAGCCTTGGATGCTTGACGAGGGGTCACTGGGAATCACGAGGAGGTCACCTGACAGCAGTAACTTGGATTTTTTTTTGGTGACCTACTTAACCAAACTAGAATTTGGAAATTTTTTTT